AGAGTGTTACTGATTTTTCAATTAGTGTTAGTAGTTATTCCAAATGGATAAATAATCTGTTGGTTCTTTACAAAATTATAGTTACCTCCTAAAGTATATAGCAATCCATACAGTAATACAAAATCCATCTTTTGTAAGGTTATCTGAGGTAATTATGTAGCGATAAGTTAATTCTGCAGTGACTAAGAGAGAGCACAGTTGGAGCTCCCAGTTAGACTTGGATCTGAGGATGTATCTCTCTGCACTACATGAGCAAGAAAGATACGAGAACTAATGGTAAAACGAGCTGCTGGGGCTCAGGTTCTGTGTTTTATTATGAGAATTAATGTAAAGGAAGATTTTAAAATTAACTTGATAGATATATATTTAAAGTATATTGATTTCAAATTGATGTTTAAATATTCTCTATTGAGAAAAACTGAAAAGAACAGTTATATGGAATATATTTTCACAAAAAAAACCCCACCCAAAACAACCAACAAAAACAACTGGGAAAAAGAACAAGTAACAGATTTTCAAAGACTGATTCTTTACTTCATACTTTGTAAAAGATATATTATGACCTGTTACTTCATAAAATTAATCTTAGACAGGAAATAAGAGTGGAACATAAGCACATAAAGAATAGCCTAAGGAATCTTAATATAGATGTGCTCAAGTGGCAAATCTGAGTAAAATTCATCCTAGAAAGACTGAGGAATTAGACACCACTGATTTTATCTGTTTATTTAATGTCTCAGTGGGTAAAAATAGCCAGCAAAATGGGTTTGTGTGTGTGTGGTTTTGTCTTTTTATTCTTTTATTAAGAAAATTGTTGGAGCTCTCCATTTTTATTCCAAATAGAGATTCAGGAGTAAATAGTTGAGCAATTATTTTTACCTAAATATGTGCTAAAAAGAAATTTTAAAACAACCAATATGGTTCGACTTGACCTGTTTGTAAGAAACCTCAATCTGTTTCTCCTCTTAAGAGTGACAGGCTTAGTAAGTAAGAGGAAAACTTTAGGCACAATACAGCTTGATTTTAATGAAGCCTTTTCCCCTACATAAGCAAGCTAGGGAAACATGATATTGATATTGTCTCCATTAGATTCTGGTATTATCAGCATTAAGTTGAAAAATTGCCTTTACAGGGTAATTACTACTCTGTCAAGACGAACAGGTATTAATGAGTTGGATGATTGAAGAGAACCCACACAAAAGTTACTGATGATCCTAACCTGAAGAGGCATTGAAAGTTTTGTGTTGGGTTGGTGAAGTGAATTGGGGTGCAATGTCTTGCATCCTAAATGCTATTTTAAGTTAGAGCAGTAAGGAATGAATTTCATTTATTTAATAAAAATTATTTGCACTTCCCAGTAAGTGTTTTGACAAATCATACTTAGAAATAGTTTGAAGCTTCTGCATACAATATTTTGTCTTCTAAGGATTATGTTAGAAATGCAGAGAATGCAATTGCAGGAGCAGTGAGACAGTAGAAACTCCTTGATTACTCATCCACAATGGAATAGCCCTGTGGAAAAAATTGGCACTCTAGAGGTTACGTGGATTTGTGTATTCCTGCAGGCAAAGTTTACAGACCTGTAAATTTAAATGTAGAATTTTTGCGGGCAGAATGCATTGACAAATATGCCTGATTGTAATACATCTGTTACTGATAGTCCCAGAACAGGTCAATAATAATGCTTATATTGATAGTAGCAATGCAGGAGATGTTACTTGGTATTACAGCTAAAATCCATGTTATCCCCTTAATCATAATTACATTAATATTGACAGACTGTTGACAATACTCACATTACTATTGATAGATTTCTGTCAATATCATGTTTCCAAATAAAATATATTCATTCATAATTTGTACAATGCTCAATAACAGTACTAACATATACCAGAAGACATTCACTTTTCCCTGGTGATGCACAATAATCATTTAATTTTGTTGCAGAGTGAACTGTACAAGTAGCATTGTTAACTTTTTTAGTTTAAAAAAAGAAAGCAAAACAACTGTAGGTTATTTCAGAAATAAATGTTCTGTGGGGTTTTCTCTGGGAGGCAATTTTAAGGTTTTCTTTGCAATATCTGTGATGATATAAAATCAAGTGAGAACGTTTCAAGTAGTAGTCTTCAGTGTTTGTCTTTAAGTGTATTTACCTAACAAGTCAATCATACATAGAGTTTATTATGTAATCTTCACCTGACTTTTGACTGTTAAAATCTGATAATATAAGCTAAGCCTATTGGCATCCTTAACTGAGCATTGATATTTTTCTGTTTCATTACTGTGTCTACAATTCTGAATTCTTAAGGTTTTTTTTTAAAAAATCAAATGGACCAAATAAGGGGGTTAAACCAGTAAGGACATGAAAAATAGAATTTAATGCAGAAACATGGAGGAAAAGAAACATTCTCTTTATAGTCTGTGTAGCTCAGCAGAATATCAAATGCGAAAGTAACATTTAAAAGTACAAGTTAAATATTTTGACGGTTACAGGGTGTGTTTTTTTATCTAGTCTTAAACTAGAATATTTCTCATTTATTCCTTCTGTAGGTCTACTATTTTTGAGAGACAGTACAAACTGAAAAATCTACAAATTTCTGAAAGCGTTTTGTATGGAAGAAGTAATTTTAAAAGGGAGAACTTTTTTCAGTTTGTTGACATTTCTTTTATAATATTGATAGAAAAGAGGCAAAACTGGACATAGTATCCCAGATGTAGACTCACCAATGCCAGGTAAAGGGGAATAAGCACATCCTTCAGTCTGCTAGCTATGCAGATGCTAATGCACTCCAGTAGGCATTACTGATGCTAGGATGCGCTGATGACTTGTGTTCAGCTTGCTTCCTACCAGAATCTCCAGGACCTTATTTTGCAAAGCAGCCATGCAGTCAGTCATCTTCCAGCTTGTAGTGATGCATGGGTTTTGTGTATTTCATGCTCCATCATAATTCTATGTATTTGACATATTTTCCTTGAAGTTGAAAAGGTTCTTGAGGACCTGCTTCTCACTTGATTAGGTGTCTTTAGATCATCTGGCTATATGGGAGGCGAGGGAGAAGTTTGCACAGATTTAGCCTACATTATTTATAGTGATTCTGCAACAGCAGTTTCTCATAGCAACTGGGATACTGGAAGACAGCTGGAAAAGTTAGTTGAACTGATGTTGGAAAATAGTAGATGGATCAAGGAAGCTGTTTGATAAGCTCATAAGTTCAGTAGTTTGAAGGGTAATTTTGTGTATTGGGAATTGTATAAAGTACTAGTAGGAAGGTGACTGAATTTAGTAGATGGGAGTAAAATGAGTGGAAGGGACTGAGGTCTTACCAGATTGATGAAGTCAGTAGACTTTTAGGGGTTGCAAGTGAATGGAACTAAAGCAGAATGACATGTTGCAGAGCAGAGAGTTATCAGAGGCTATGGTTCCTAAAATAGTAGTGAGAGGAGAAGATGAGTGGTAGGAGGCCAGTCATTTCAGCTGGAGTTTTTGAAGTGATACAGCAAGATCCAGTAGGGTTTGAATTGGTCATTTGATCACAAACTGGAGGAGGTAAGATATGGGGATGATCCTGGATAATGCTTTTCCAACAGCACTTCCTGTGCTTTGGTGCTTCTACAGAAAAGACAGAAGTGTGACTGAGACAGGCTCGGATATACTGTCTTTCTATACCCTCGCATCCTGGCTTGTCAGGCCAGTGTGGGTTTATACAACAAACCCTGTAGCTGTTTACCAGGAGGAGGTGCCCTTATACTACCTTCAGCCATATTTTGCTTGCTAATGAGGAAGGAACAGTTTAAAGAAACTGTGGAGCTATTGTGTGCCCTACCCATGTTGCCAGTCTTAGTTAATTGGAGACTACTGTTGTACAGCATATATTAAGCAAAATAATGGTTTTAACTGGGTTTCTCAGCAAACAGTTATTGGTTTGGAGGATTATTCTTTTAGTATTCTTAGCATTGTTAGCAACCACTTCTGTGTAGGATCCTACATGGCATCTTTTATTCAAAGCAATCTTGAATTATAGCAGGTTTTCCTCTTGTAAATAAGGATTTGCGGTGCCTTCTGCGCTTTCTCCAGAAGGCTGTTAACCTTTTCTGGGCTGTTATACAAAGTATCTGGTTTATAAAGTGAAGCATGTTGCTTAGTACCTGAAATACACCACTTCTTCTAAAACACTTGGGGTTTTTTATGTGGACGAAAGGAACTAAAAATCAGTTAGCCCACAATTTTGCATTACTGAGGTGTTACCCATATTTTGCTTACGAAATTTATTGTATTTATTTCCTTAGTCACAGAATTCCAGATACAATAACATTTAAACCAAGTGATTTTTGAAAATGTTTTGGTTTGTTGGGGGGTTTTTTGCAATCCTTGAACAAGAAGAGTAAACATTTGTTGAAGTTGCTAGTATGCATTGATCATCTTGCCAGGAAATGGGTTATGCAAGTAGAACAATGCCACATCTGTCAAAAGACTCTAGAAAATATATACCAGTTTTGGTGATGTATATGGCAATACTTTCTATCCACCCCACTGTTCTCTTCTAGATTTTAGTTGGTATATTAATTTTCCCTGTTTCTCCATAGAACACTATATAGTTTTACAATTCTTCCTAATCATCTATGCTAAGGTCCAGTAGATTATTACAGATACGCATAGCGTTATTTTTTTTTTAAATTTGTAGAGTGAAATATTAAATCTGTAAAGTGTTGTAAATACTCAAAAGCTGTTAAAACACTTCCCTATAGCCAAATTCAAATGTTACTGTTTGTAAGAAACAGTCTCTCTTCTTTTGAGATGAAATTTTATACTGTTAACATAAAGCTTCCTGAAAGAACTTTTAGCATATTAATACATAATTCTGAAAAAGCTTTTCTTATTTATTGTTTACTCCTAGTGTATATAACAACTTTGTAATCTTTAGCAATGATAAAAATAGAAAATGCTCCATTATACTAAAATATTTTTGTGTTTATTTGTAGAACATTTTCTCTGTGAAGAAATGGCATCCAGCATTGGAAATGAAAGGAGTGTGAATCCTGTGCTCAGAATAAGTCAGCTTGATGCTCTTGAGTTAAACAAAGCCCTGGAACAACTAGTGTGGTCCCAGTTTACCAGTTGTTTTCATGGATTTAAACCAGGGGTGTTGGCTCATTTTGAACCAGAAGTAAAAGCATTTTTATGGCTTATATTATGGAGATTCACTATTTATTCCAAGAATGCAACTGTGGGGCAGGCTATTCTGAATATTCAATACAAGAACAACCTATCTCAGACAGAGAAATACCAACCTTTGAGCAAACACCAGAAGTTATGGTATCTTATTTTCACTGTGGGTGGAAGATGGTTGGAAGAAAGATGTTATGATTTATTTAGTAATCGTCAGCTGCAATCTTTCTGCAAAATCAAGCGTTGTATTACCTTTGGAGCTGGACTTATTAAGCTTTGTGGACTTGTAAATTTTCTGATTTTTCTTCAGAAAGGAACGTTTGCAACGCTCACTGAACGCATTCTAGGAATTAGGTCAGTTTTTTGCAAGCAGCAAAGTGTTCGTCAGGTAGGATTTGAATACATGAACAGGGAGCTCTTATGGCATGGCTTTGCTGAATTTCTGATCTATCTGCTACCACTTATTAATATACAGAAACTAAAACTTAAAATTTATTCTTGGTGTTTGCCCGTTCCAGGACTTTCCAATAGTGAAAATACATTAGCAGCTCACTGCAAGGAATGTTCACTATGTGGAGAATGGCCTACCATGCCTCATACCATAGGCTGCTCACATGTTTTTTGTTACTTCTGTATTAAAAGTAACTATTTATTCGATATGTATTTTACATGTCCTAAATGTGGCTCAGAGGTACACAGTCTGCAGCCACTGAAATACAAAATTGAAATGACAGAATTGCATGTGTGATAAGGCTTGTGTGATTTGGTTTTATACTAGACCTGAAATACTACATTGCAGAGATTAATGGAAAAATTCAGAAAATCTTGTAAAGGGAGAGTTTCAACATGCTTTTAGAGACTCTGTAAGTTGTTGCAGCATGTTTCCTTTCTGTTTTGTTTTCCTTTTTTTAACTGAGTAACAATGACAAATTGCCTCTCTGTGAAGGATAGAACAGAAAGTCTTGGGATTGCTTGATTCCAGTTTGGTACCCCTATGTTGTCAAGTCATTACTTCTAGAGTCTGTCAGCCTGCCACATCCTAACTACATGCTATGTACTTCCTTCAAAGATAAGTAAGATGCCCAGTAAGCTTTTACTCATTTTGTTGATTTTAACTGCCTTCTTCAAAAAGCTTCTACCATTGCCAAATTAGCAGGCAAAGTCCTCCTCATCATGCCTAAACACTAAATTTTAAATTCAAATGTTTAAAATTTGATTTACCACTGTGATGTTTCCCTGCAAAAAGGAAAGATTTGAGATTGTCATCTCAAGCAGATTGTGGTTTTCATCATATTCAGCCATCATAACAGACATAAGAGATGTAGGTATAGATCATAAGGTTACTGTTCTATCTGGTAGACAGACAAGATACTCCATGGTTAACACATGCTTATGGGAGATCTAACCACTTCCTTTGCAAATATAATGCACCTTCTAGACCTTTATGAGATGACAGAAATAATTTTCTCACCCAGCGGTTTTTCTGTGATCTTCAGTGACGTATGTATGACCACCTCCCCTTTTTTCCGTATAAAGCTGAGGGAGGCAGTCCATCATCCATTGGAGCGTGGCAGCTGCCCAAGGTAACCTGCATTCTTCTGAGTTAGAGAAATTGGAAAAAACTGCTAAGTCACAACATTGTGTCTTTGGGATTTGCCAGTCTTTTTGGTGTGGTCAAGGGTGGTGTCAAACCTCACTCAGTACCACACAAAAGATCAAGCACAGTTATGTGCATATTGACGTATTAAAGAAATGGGTAGCTCTTCCTGTTTTTTACCATTACTATTTGCTTTCTCTGTTGGCTTTACAGTGTTTTTATTATTCCCAGTTTTATCACTTCATCCATTTATTCTCTGACCTGGTTTTGTAAGATTTATTTTTTTCAAACACTCAGTCCTTTTTGAACAGTAAATCTTACCCAGAAGTGTCTCATTAACACAAAAATACATTGCATCCTTTTTTGCCTCTTAAATCAAATTCTCAAAAATTTAGGCAATAAAATGTAGTAAATCACTTTATGATGGCTGTGTTCTTGATTGGCTGTCATCAATAGTCAGTCTCAAAAATAGTATGGTAAAAACTGATCCAATATTCTTTATCTCCTTTTATGAACTGTTTTATTACATTCTTTGGTGTCTGATTAAAACAACCCACCAGCCTATTTGTTTGAAGATCTTAAATTCTAGGTTTTGATCTTTAGTGACATGCAACACTTTCATCTGATGTAATGAAATATAGTTAGCGGGTTCATAAGTATCTATGTGCAGCCCAAAACTTGATTAATTCTGCTACTGTACTGTGAGTCAACAGACTTCAGAGCAACTGCTTCCAGATACTGTGCTGCAATGTATCATTTACCATCAACTGTAAGTATCAGCAGCCTGCCGAATTTCTGTTATTCGTGGCTGCAGTTTGGACAAGCTGATGTAAACCTGATTTTATTAGAAGTATCAAAACTGGAAAGTCTGTTTAATATCTTGGAGTCACTTGATGTTCCTGAGGTGATTCTGTTTGAATTGTCCCTGCACATCACTTGATAACTCAGGAGCCCTGACTTTGAGGTGGTCCAATGTTTCCAGAAAGGGTTGTCAGCATTCCT